TTCCTCAAACATGATAAATGTTAATAAACATTTAATTTTTATTCCACTGTCACTGATCATTTCAATTAACTGAAAATAATTACAAAAAGGCACTCTCATGAGCAGTAGATGTTGTGACGAAAGGCAATTGGGAGGCAATTCATGGATCTAATGAAGACACATCCTAGGCTATAGGCTGGCTAGTTTGCAGGTAAAAACCAGGGAATAAGAGAGCTGAGGGGTGCCCTCCTGGCGTCAGAACAAATATCAAACACTGACCTCAGAAACTATCCCATAGAAAGAGTCACAACTTTATTGGATTAGTTTATAGAGGAATTTATGCTCCAGGGCACTGTTGAAATCGATGGCTGTTGGAGCACCTAAATATATAAAACAATTATTAGCAGATCTGAAGGGAGAAACAGAAAGTAATGTAATAAGAGTAGGCGACTCTCAAGTCCATTACCCCACTTTCAACAATAAATAGATCATCCATGTAGAAAATCAAGACGAAAAGATGGACTTGAGTGACAATTTAGACCAAATGAACCTTGAGTGACAACTTAGGCCAAATGAACCTTACGGACATATATAGAACATTCCACCCAACAGCAGCAGAATACACGTACGTTCTTCTCAAGCACAAACAGAACATTCTCCAGGATAGATCGTATGTTAGGTCACAAAACAAGTCTTAACAAATTTAAGAAGATTGAACTCATATCAAGTATCTACTCTAACCAAAATGGTATGAAACTTAAGTAAAAATAAGAGAGTAAGATTGGTGCAGGGACAGACATGTAGGCAAACGAACACAAACAAAGGGCCCAGAACCAACCCATCCATCTACTGGAGTTGGCATTGGAATTCATTTAGGAAATGGTATAGTTTTTAATAAATCATCCTGTGAGGTTGGTTATCCAGAGGGAAAACTCAGCATTGGATCCAGACCACATAACACATAACAAAAATTAATTCCATGAAGAATAAGTACTTAAATGCGAACAAGAAAAATTTTTAACTTCTAGTGAAAAATTTAGAAGTTTACTTTTATGAGCTTAGGTAAGGAATCATTTCTTAACAGGAATATAATAGCAAAAAAAGTAAAATATAGATAAATTGATTTTATTACATGTTTCTTAAAATTATATCAACCCTAAGGCACTTTTAAAAATACATAACAGGGTTTCCCTGGTGGCACAGAGGTTGAGAGTCCGCCTGCCGATGCAGGGGACACGGGTTCGTGCCCCGGTCTGGGAAGATCCCACATGCCGCGGAGCGGCTGGGCCCGCAAGCCATGGCCACTGAGCCTGTGCGTCCGGAGCCTGTGCTCCGCAACGGGAGAGGCCATAACAGTGAGAGGCCCGCGTACCGCAAAAAAAATAAATAAATAAAATAAAAATGCATAACAAATTGGGAGAAATCATTTTAATGCATATAACTTATATAGGAAATTGAGATAGTAAAAACTAAAATCTAACTCCTATAAACTTATTTCTATCTAGACATATTTTTATATATTTATAAAAATAATGAGGAATTTATTGTCACTGGAAGGGCTAGAGCTAGATTATGAAAAGGAAACAGACTAGACCAATACACATGTGAAGATTCCCAACCTTATTAGTAATCAGTAAAATGCATTTTAAAAGCACCAAGAGGCACCGTTTAATACTCAACAGATGGAAAAAATGAAAAAGTCTGAAAATACCAACTACTGACAAGAAAGTCAATTAGTTAGATTAATTATACACTGATAGTGGAGGTGTAAATTCATACAACTAGTTAAATCTAGTAAAGCTATAAATACGCATACAATACACAGCAATTCTACCCTTACATATGCTCTAAGGAACTTTACACATGTGGACCAGGAGACATGCACAAGGATGTTCAGAGAGGCAGGGATCATAATAGTAGACAAAGAAGAATAGAAGTAACCAGAATTCTGTTATGGGAAATGTTCTTAGAAACATTCTCAGAATCTCCAGGGATCCACAGGGGTTTGATATGAAGAAGTCCTTCAGATCAAAATGCTCAGAGTGGGGGAAGACATCAGTGCCTTTCACCTAATTACTTGACACAGTGCAGCTGATTTCCCATGACCAACCCCACAAAGCCAGTCACATCCTTCATTTTCCCCAAGGGACAGAGTAAGGACTCCCATATTAAGGAGATCTCAATAACTGAGGTACCTAGCAGGAAGATTTATCACTTCTAGTTTGTACTTTAACCTCCAGACTCACCAGCTCATATAAAGGTTGGTAAGTAAACAAAGGAAGAGAGAGATGCTTCCTTTCAGTGTCCAAGGGTCAGAAAGGATTCCTAGTCTTAAATTAAAATTTAGACACAGAAAATCTACTGGAAGAAAGAGATTTCAAAATTTACAAGCTTAGTTGATAATGCCTCGGCAAAAGTAAGAAAGATACAACAAACTTCAAGACAGAAAACCCTAGAGAGCTAAAATTGAGCATTTCGTGGTACCAATCTTGTTACAAACTGCTTACTACTGTGTAGATCTTTATTCAGCACTAGAAAAGAACAGGTATATGAATAGACAGTGAGACAAATTATCTGTCACTGGTAAATCTGCATAGCAATGCATAATAATTCTATTCTTATACTCGAGTTACCACTACACATTGCTCATGAGTCAGCAAGAGTAGTTATTTGGCTTAAAGTAACAGCCATCACATTTAGCAAATCCTATAATGCAAAGCAAATTAGGGCTTCTTTACTAGATTTACCATTCGGTGGGTGAAGGGAGAGAGGGCGCTGGCTAATTTAGTCCAGGCCCGGAAGTGTTCACTGTTCCAGAAAATATACCCGTGCCCTTAGTAATGGGCCAACATATGCACAGGGTTTGAGGTCTGGCCTCCAGCAGGGGGCTCTTTCACCACTTGGGCCCCAGAGCTGGCAGTAAGCATGCTTCCAATCTCTGTTCAAATGTGAACTCTAAGATCCAGCGCTCTGGATAATGCAGTCCTCACCATTCAAAACCCCAGTCTCTGTCAAATATTGAAACAGTGGCCCTATTTCTGTCTGACCCAGAGCTGGACACAAGCTCACTGTTATACCAAAAAATTGCGGATCCTTCTTATCGCAATGGGTTTCCCAAATGCTTTTTTCTCTTTTTGAGAAACTTCTACGATGTTGTTACTAATATGTTGGGTTCATGTGCTAAGAAGGTGCCCTGTAAAATATTGTCTTAGTGAAAATTTCCTTCACAATTGGGAGGGTTAACCTACAATACATTCCTTTGATAAACTTATGTATAAATAGTTTGTTCTTATGTTCTTCACATCTTGTATGAAGATTGTTGGAGGATTCACCAAAGACTATATTGCCATCTAAAGTTTACATTGAAAACCTCAGAAAAACTAATAATCTATTTGATGCTTGTAGGAAGAGAGGAGCTGTTGGGAAGCGGTTGTTAGACCAGGGCTGTGGTTAAAGAGGAAGGATGATGACATAAATCTTTGCATAAACCACATTTACACGAAATCGTGATGTAGCATAAAATACTTTTCTTTCCAGCCAATAAGAAGAAGGAAGGAAGGCAGCATCATTTGTCTCTGGCAGACTAAAATTCCCAAAAGGCATACTCAGGGTTGTGGTGGAGGGCAGGGGTGGGGGAGAAGAAATTCCATTTACATCTCAGTTCAGTGAAATTGGTATATGGAATATTTGAATGTGGAGCATTATATAGAATTTCTGAAGTTATCTGCCCATGCCAGCCCCACTGTGCTTATTCCCTACCTTTCTTCTTCTCTCACAGGCATTCATGGCCCCCCTAGGATTGTGGCCATAAACATATAAGTCTCCAATCTTAGCTGAGCTCTCAAGCCCACTTTTCAATCCTTTCACATACCTTTGGTCTTTTTTTTTTTCCATTGAAGTATAGTTGATTTACGATAACATATTCGTTTTGGGTGTACAACATAGTGATTTGATATTTTTATAGGTGACACCATACTTTATATAAAGTTATTATAAAATATCTTTAGCCATTTCTACTTCTCATTTCCCTCCAAAATGTTCTTTTTTTAATCAATCACCTCATGGAGCTTAAATAATTACCACTTTGTACCTCAGAGATAAAGAGGAGAGAAAAAACTTGAACACTCCCCAAATCTGATGGGCCTTAAATTCACAGTCCATGATCCCTGTGATACCCAAGCAAGCAGACAGAAGAACACTATTGAGATTCACACTCTTTTTGCTGCAAAAGGAAACTTTCAGAAGAAATGTCCAGTCTGTAGTTAAAATACAGCAACTTTTGTGTTGGAACTTCTGGGGTTGGGTGTAGCCTTGACTCTTTGGCCATGTTTAGCAATGGTCTCAGCTCAGGAACATTTCTTTGGTTTTTGATAAAGCTGGAAAGATTTTTTTAGCCTCAATGTGTTTGAGAGTATAAGATTTCTAAGTTTAACTGTATAACATTTCAGATTCTTCCACTGATCATGAAGACTCCAAAGTGTATCATCTCTTTAAATAACTGGAAGATAAATGATCCTGGATCTCATCAGGAGTGTTCATACATGCATGCATGAGTCAAATACTGTGTTGAGTATGAGAAACAAAGGGTTACAGAAGACCCCTTTTCTACCCATAGGGAGTCCACAAGAAGAGCTTAGTCAGCTGCAAAAATACAACTTTCCACTTCCTTAGAAGAATTAAGTGGGTGGTTTAAGAACTGGTCCAGTGCCTGTGAGGGGAAGTACGGCATCAATGGTCTTCTGTGCCACAGGGTAGCACAAGGGCCTCCGGCACATCACTCTGGGGTTAGACTGCCTGAATTTGAATCCTGACTCCACCTCTTATTAGCAAGGATTCAACTCCTCCATGCTACAATTTCCTAACTGATAAAATGAGGAAGGGAAGTAATAATAATATACCTACCTCATGATATCATAAAGAGTAAGTCAGTTAATATAGTAAAAGCACTTCAAAGAGTGTCTGGCATATAGTAAGCACTCAATATATTAGGCATTTTAGTTATTATCATTATTATTAATTACCATTATCACCATGGCTGGAGGGTAATCTCGCCATCTGTCTTCATTTTCTCACCAGTCTGGCTAATAAGGATCCAACACATCTGGGGCAGGATCAAAAGCCAAAAGAAGCCTGGCTTTCTTTATGTTTGGGGAGAAAGGGGAAAAGAGAAGGAATTTGAGAGAAATAGCCATTTCATGCTTTAGATTCTGCCGTTGTTCTAGCCACCTCCAGGAAACTCACCAGCTCCCAGACACCAGGGGAAACAGCTGGGTCCATCCCTTCACCCCGTCCGGATTTCCTTTCCACCATTTACACATTCCAGAATTTGTTGGTTGATTCTAAAACTGCAAGAATCAGGTTCACACCAGTAGGTTGAACTCACAGTTGATTTTATGAGCGTGTGCTGTGTAGTAAACAGAGTCTACACCATAAGACCCAACTGGCATATCATGAAACTCACTTGGGACTGAGTGGACATAAAGAAATTAAGTATCCTCAGAATTTCCAGAAGTAGAAACACTTTAAGGTGGTAATATTTACGGTTCTCATTTCTCTACAGGTGTATGGGTGTGAACCCATCCTTGGTTTAAGCTCTTGATCATGACCTAGATAATAGGGTAGTACAGTACGTGTGGTCTCAGCTGACTGCTAAGCCCTTCACTTCTCTGTTCATGTGGAACATTTTTCTAGACAGAGAAGCAGAGCACCCTAGAAGGCACACCCATGGAGTAAGTGCTATCTACATTTCCTCAGTCTCCACAGTGCCACTCCCCTCTAGCCAGACTGTGGTGACAAACAAATTTTGCAGAAGTTGGGTTTAAGTGAAACCGAAATGAGACACGGGAAAGCTTCCTCTCAGGCAAATTAGAACCATATGGGAGGCAGCATCCTTTGTCTCTGGCAGACTAAGCCATGAAAAGTAGTTATAGAAAAAGTAGTTATAGAAAAAGAAAAAAGTATCTATTTAAAAACTGTAAAATACTAAGTCATACATTTAACAAGTAGTCATTAGTGAAAATATTACAAAACTTTTCTGAGACCTCAAAAGATGAATAAGTGAGGGAGAATACGTTGTTCCCAGAAAGGAATATAACACATAGATTTAATGCAGTTTCAGTCAAAATCAACATGTGATATTGTGTTTCCAAAGATCAATATGAACATTACTTATTTATACAAGGCTGCTACTGTATTGAGCAATTTTTAAAAAATAATTAGCTTTCCTCTCTATGCTGCTTAATTTTCAAAAGTGTTGTTTCTTTTTTGTATTATTTTGTTCTTATATGGAGATGATTTATTCCATTAGCTCTGATCACCATATTAATAATTATAGTTCCGGTCTAAAGAAATAAATCATAGAGACAGGTTCAAGGTACCAAAGGGAAAAAAGAAAACATCCAGAGTGGTTTTGCAGTCCTGCCTTGCTCTGCTCAACTCCCACCCACCACCACCTCTTTTCCACAAAGAGATCCTAAGCTAAAGTAGAATTCACTGATAAAGAACATTTGGAGAAGTTGTGTTTAAGTGGAACGGCAAATCTGACATTGAACATGTTCTCTCCAGCCAATGAGGATCAGGTGTAGGGCAACATCACTTGGCTCTGGAAAACTAAGCTATTCAGAGAACTCAAGAGTAGAGCTAACTGTGTACAGAAAAAGTGTCTGTCTTCACAATACCAACAAAATGTAATATGTAGGAAGCAAAGAATGTAACAGAACTTTACTAATGTATTTAATGTAACATGAAGGGCTGAAGAGATAAAATATAAATCAAATGCCACATGAAACTGTAAAATTAACAATGCACTTCTAAAAGTCAGTAGGCATGATAACTAGGCAAGACCAATGAACACTTTCTCTTATTAATTTCACCACTTGGTTTATAATTACTCTCTTCTCAACTACGCTGTTTAATTTTCAAAAATGTTTCCTTTTTAAGAATGCATTTCCTTTTCTTAAGGAGGTTCACACCAGTAGGTTGAACTCACAGTTGATTTTATGAGCATGTGCTGTTTAGTAAACAGAGTCTACACCATAGACTTATAATAATAATATAATAATTTAATAATATAATAATTTATATAATATATAATTATATTATATAATATTATATATACAATTATATTATATTATATAATAATTTCTCAAATATTTCTATAGTTTGAGGGGTGAAATAGTTCCTAAAGTCAGTAGCTGGAAGGGACACACAAGTACAAATTAACTCTCCAGCCCCACACAATAAGACAAAGGCAAGCAGGATTTCATGGTGTCTGCATTTATCATGGAAGTGACCTTGACACTTGAGTGGTGAATTTCACCTTAGTTCTGATTGTAAATTTACAATCCCTTGTCACCTCACAGCCAGCCAGTAATGTCAGCAGTATATGCGAGGTATTTGAGAAATACAGAGCTGGAAAAAAACCTTCCCAAAACTCTATGATTGCCTCACATGTTTGCAGCCTGGAGGTGAGACCTTGTTGACAAACATATCTACTGTCTCCATACCAGATGCTCAGGCTGTCACCTACAACACTTATATCATCAGTCTTTCAAACTCCATTGCCAAGGTATTTTAAAGAAGTAAGCTCTTCCAGGTTTATGACGGCTTGTATTCAGTTATCTGAAGGACCAAGAATCTCTCCTTTTCAGCCCCAAAGATCTAGATGGCTCTAAGGAAAACAGATGCTCATTTTACTCACTACATTAATCCATGGGATGGGGAGTGAGAAAACAAATTTACATATTATAGAAGAGTAATTGCAGCATCATCTTTTTAATGTGATTAAGGCGCTAAGAACACTGGCTCATTGCTAATTGGGCTGTTCACTACCATGTCCTAAAAGCTCATGACTTACAGGTCACATGATCTTCTAGCCTCCGAAAGGAGAAAGCCCAGGAGTAGGGGAAGGAAAGCTGTGTACTTGAGCGACATGGTTAGTTGAATCTGGATTCTAGACTTGTATATGTCTCTTGTCCAGACTTCACCCACTTAATAAAAATAAGATCTATAGGTCCTAAAGCACAACCTCTATGTGTAAAGTATCTAGGTGATTCTACAAAAGTGATTATAGTTCACGGAGAACCTCTCAAAAATATCGGAGGCAATAATTTCATGGGCTACTAATATTTCATTTTGAACTTCAACAGCTTGACTAACATCCTTCTCACCTACCCGCCCAACTCACCTACCACCCCCCCACTCTGACTGCCATCTGTCTCCTGATAAAGAATCAGAATTCACCTGAACTCCAGTCATACCCTATGTGTTGTGAAATGCAAGGCATCTCTTAATATAGTCCAACCTGACACACCTGTACGTATTGGAGACAGATGCTTCAACTATTAGGATGACCCAGATCTGTGTACATTATTGACCAGAGACTGCATCTTGTACTTATTTCTCCCATTAATCAACACCAGAGAATCTACATTACTCATTATGAGGGGGGAGCTTGAAGTAGTAAACAGCTTTGAGGCAGAGAAGCTTTGGATAAAAGAAGCTTAATATGCCTAGAATATCAAGTACCACTATGCAAACTAGAACTATCATCTCCTGCAAGCCATCACCAGTATATCCCTCCATGGATCTCCTCTTAAGGAAACTGAAAGGTAAGAGCACCCTGGAGTTCCCACTATCCAAAGGAGATTCAGTATGTGATGCCCAGATGCACTCTAGATCAATTAATTCTTGATCTGTGAGAGACAGAACCAAACATCAGTACCTTTAAAGGCCCCCAGGTGGTGCCAGGATACACCCAACTTGGGGGACTAGTACTGTAGAGCAGTGATTCTCAAAGGCAATCCACCCTTACCCTCTGCCAGGAGGATATTTGGCAATGCTGGAGATGCTTTTCGGTTTTCACTGGCATCTAATGGATAGAGGCAAGGGAGGCTGCTGAACATCCTACAATGCACAAGACAGCCCCCCAACAACAAAAAATTATCCTGCCCCCAATATGAATAGTTTTAGTGAAATAAAGGTTTAAAATTAAATTTTAATTAAATAAAATAGTGCAGAGGTTGAGAGATCCTCTTCTTGAGTGTTGCCCCTGAAAAAGTGATCTGTAGACTTTGGGAATTTGTTAGAAATGCCAAATCTCAGGACCCACCCAGGCCTAGTGAATAAGAATCCTCATTTTAACAATATCCCCAGGTGATTTGAATGACAATAAAGTTCTAGAAACCCTGCTTCAGAGCAGTGGTCTCAAACAGAGCTGCACATAAAAATCATGTGATGCTCAGCCCTCTTTCCTAGGTAATTAAATGAGAATATCCGAGAGTAGAGCTCAACCATATTTTTGAATCTCCCAGGTGATCTTTATGCCCAGCCAGGGCTGGGAACCACTCACTACACTAAAGCCATAAAAATGGGTATGGCGTGTACTTCACAATCAGTCACAATCAGAGGGGAGGAAAGACCCTGAGCTACAGGCTTTGGGATCCTAGTGAACATAGCAGGAAACACAAAGTGTAAAGTATCAAGTGTTAGTGCAGACGCAGAGTCAAAGGCAGACCTACGGGAAAGGAAGGAAGGAGCAGAACCCTGACCTCAGGCTAAGGTAGCTAACACAGACTGCCTGATCACAAGGTCTGCCTCCAAAAAGCTAAAAATAACACTTCAACAAATCCTGTCCCTAATTTGCCTGTTCCAGAAACTCAGAGCAACTAATTGGCTGTATGTAAGATAGAAACACATCGTTTGTTACTCTGGGAAAGGGAGGAGGGACAATACCAATTACTTATCCCTGCTGACTAAAGGTGTTGAACATTTGTCGTGCATGTGTTGACAATTCATATAATGTCTTTTATTATTTTTATTGGCTTTTTGTCTATTTATTTTGCCTTTATTTTTATTGGCTTCTTTGTCTATTTTTATTACTTTGTCTATTTATTACTGAATAATTGGAATCCTTGATACAGTTTGGATACAGTTTTTTATCAGATATATGATGCATGTGTTTTCCCCTAGTGTTAGCTTGCATTTAGATTTTTTAAATAGTGTTTCTTAAGAAGTTTTCAATTTTCATAAAGTGCAATTAACCAGTCTTTTT